ACCCGTTACGTTAAACAGAATGCCGCCCCGCCCCTTCCTCCTGTATAGGTGCACTCGTTGTTGGGACAACCCCTAGGCGAATGCAGGGCAGGGGGGGGGCAATGTTACAAAGTCGGTGCTCAAGTGTTGGGACACTGTTTTTTGTTTGGCGATGATCATTGCCATTTATTGGCAATGAAAACGCCCTCATTGCTACGATGGGTTGGCAATGAATCGCATTTTTGGCAATGAACTTCGTTTGGCGATTGGATATTTTTACTACCACTACAGTGGCGATGGGTCGCTCATTGGCACTCCAGTGGCGATGGGGCCATTGCCAAAAACTAGCAATGGGAAATAGCCAAACGAAAAAACAGTGAAGGCAATGAAAATAATCTCCACATTATTTGCATCTGCCAGCCGCCAAGGGATTTGAAGTCGATACATACTGCATGTATTTTTACACTCTAAATGTAAAAGGACAATTTTGTCCACAGAAATGGAACGGATTTGTGCACATCCAGAAAGGATGCAATTTTTTTCCTTACATTGGACAAATTTGTGTAAAGCCTCACACAATTTGTCGAGTTTTAGGAACAAAATTGCATCCTTTCCGGATGTGCACGAATCCGTTCCATTTCTATGGACAAAATTGTCCTTTTACATTTAGAGTGTACGATTACAAATTGTTATCCTACAACTGGCGTCAAGGAAAATTTTCCTATAAACCTACCTACTTTTTTCCACAGTGTTTACTAAATTGGATGTCTGTAACAACCGTGGATTACAGTTAGTGCTTCCCCCTCGCACTTCCTCCCCCCTCCTTTCTAATCAGCTATCTCAGGATGGATTGGAGGAGGGAGGAGTCGCAGCAGTATCCACGTAGGCGTGTTAACTGTCACAAGCTGTTATGAGGTGCGAAACAAACAGGTAGTCGGGTGCAGACAAGCGACGGCGAAACATGATCTTCAAAATCAGTGGCTTTGGAGCGCTTTTCATGGTAAAGTAAGTTGTTGTATGATACTATTTATATATTGCCATCATCTTGCTGCCAAAAATCTTCCCACTCTTACTTAAAATTTGCTTTCCTGACCATAATTTTGTTTATATACTAACAGCAAAATTGTTGAACAGAATCATTCTCACTAAACCATTTAGGAGAAAATCTTTAGGAATAAGAGTGACAATAAATGGCAAGTGATATTTGATTCACGGACTTGCCTTGGATGTTTCTTGGAAAACATCTGAATCGGATACATGATTAGGCATTTCATTTGTATATAGTGGAAGACACACTGTTCTGGACCTCAACTGTAGCTCTTTATATTTAGAGTATATGAAGACTGAGAATTCTGAACAAGTAAACACTTAGACTTTAATTTTGCCTAGTGTTGAGGAAGGCGAAATGAAGGGGCACATGTGCTCTACTGTAGTTTATGGAGCTGCTCTACGTAGCACTCCGTACAAGAGTTGGGTCAAGACTGACCGCTACAGGGTTTGAGAGTAGAAGGGAAACAATAACAAGAGAGTGGGAAAACAGATGACAGGGATCAGAACTAGCGCGTATATTTGAAGTAGTACACTGTTGAGAAACCTAGTATCTCTGTTATCGCCAGTTATGGCAATCTAAAGCTGATCTTATCTCAGAGGTAAACCCGACCGCTTTCACGAAGAAATGTCCACCAAAAAACTGCCCATCGTTACTTGGTCCCCCCACTTACAATGTCCTCTAGCTGTATCTAGCTGTAGTATGAGGGTCAATAATAACATAAAATGGCAAATGAAATAAGGGCCAACTTCACCTTTCCTGCTGTGCTGCGAGTACTGGAATCCTCGGTAGCACAAAACCTTCTTGCCCTTGGTAGAGTGAGCAGTGGGGCGTATCTCGGATGCGGTCCAAACGTTGTTGGCCATAGCAACAATGCCCTATAAAATAGGCCATTCATTTTAGCGGCCAATCAATTAAGGGACATTTAGCAGCGGACCTTAAACGGAGGACAAAAAGACTTCGGACCATCAGAGTTCGGACATTTTGCGGTGGACATTCCTTCGTAGCACCACGCGACCGGTTCTTCTTTAGTGCACTATTCAAAAAAAGTCTCAAATTTCACATCAGAATCAGTTGTTAAATTGCAAACGTCCTTGGGAAATTTCATAAAATTATAAATTTTTCAATTTGTTATTAAATTTGTAGAGGTTCTTTGAAAATTCAAAACTGTTTACTGAAAATTAGGAAACCTTTGTAATTTTCAAGGTAATGTTGCAATTTGCTATTGTGAAATTACGATCAGTCTATTGGAAATATAATATTTCATTGTAATTTCCGATTGCGATTATTTGCAATTTTGAAAAGTAAAACCGAACGAAACAGGACCTGAACAAAGCAGGTTTACTCTAGAACAACGAACCTTCACAGCTCCTTGCGACTTTGAACTCTCATACGACATCACGGCGACTGTACTGCAAAGAAGTGCCGCCACAGATGGCGTCGTAGTCAGCACGTATCTTTCTAAAGTGACTATAAGTATTTAACAAAACGGACATATAATGTTCTGTAACAAAATACTTTCACTGGCTTTGATTTTAAGTAAAAGGTCATGCAAGTACCCAAAATGATCGGTCTAATTCTAACGCGCGCCGGTCCCCGCAACCTCCTCTCAGTTAGGTATCGTGCTGTTCGCACACATCCAAAAGGGGGCGCCTGTCCTGCACTCCCGTAATTTTATTGCGACATTATCGTCAAAAGTAAATTGACACTCCTCCAGCCGAAACAGATGATCCCTAGAACATTTTCGGTTCACTCCCCGTCCTTTAGCCCATCCAGCTAATCCGTAGAGCACTATCAGTTCACTTACTTCATGTTCATGGAAAATTTCTGTAATGTTGTCGTAAAATAACAAACCTGGATTTTTGAAAATTCACAGGAACGGTTTTAGCTTTCAGATTGCAGATTCTTAAATTTCAAATCACGTGTGTACATTTTTTTACATTTGTTTTAGTTGGTAGTTTTAGAAACATCGAATTAGGTTAATAGATTCCAACAATATTTATAGAATAACAATCGATTTTATTAAAAGTGAATAACAATTAGTGAAGTGTGCAATGTCACCCACAATGAACAATTTTATTTGGAACGACGAACGTTTCTTCAGCGAATTTTTGACTTTTTTTGATCAGAAACGTTCGGTTTAGTTTTTCTTGCCATAATTTTTCTCAGAAAACTTTCTAATTTCAATTTTAACTTTCTGCTAACTTCTTAGGTTACATCTAACTAGTTTTTAATTAGAAAAAAATCAAAAAAAAAATCGCGTTTCTGGACTACTTTTCTCTAGAGTGTACCCGATGCATGCATGCAATGGTTTAAATTTGCACAGTGTGCTGGTTGGTGTGCTTAGCGAGCAAGTACGACAAGTCACGCAGCCCGGCATTCATACGGAAGGGCCCGTATGGGATCACGCGAACGACGGGCTCTACTTTGTCGATATCGCAGCAGACCGCCTGGAGTACTACGACCCAAAGACTGGTGTTGTTCACAAAGTCACGCTCGGTACGTATTATTACCAAAATATGTGTCTTTCTAAAGATCTTATTATCCTATACTTCCGGCTTTCCAGAATAAGGTAGAGGGGATGTGTTCCATCAGTTTGTTTTTGAATGGGGAAAGTTAACTCCGCCCACCCAAATCCCCACCCAAAAACTTCAGCCAGATATCAAAGAAAATAGAGAAAACCTGAGATCAGCCATAAAACGTCCTCCACCAACCCTAGTAACACAAACTGTCGCACATAGTCTGATTTTTATCTATCGTCCAATTATTGTGACGATAACGAAAATCCAAAAGTGATGGATTTTCCAGATTCAGGCGATTGTCGCTGGCCTGTCAAATTTAAACCATCTAACATTTTGTTATATTTGTATCGATTCCTGGTCAAATCCACAACAGTGGTTTTTCGCCTCCATTCTTGATAGCTAGCCGATAAAGATTTTCGTTCGGAGGAAAAAGATAGCATAGCAATAGAATCATTTTTATCATTTCGTATATCGCACCGATAGTCCGCATCTTTTTAAACGGACCCGTTTCTACCAGACAGTAGGAGGGGGCCGGGCGACATGGTTCAGTGAACCATTGGTTCACCACCACCTGTTGAGCAGCTCCACACCCACGCCCGGGTATCAGAGCAAAAATAAGAGACACCTTGCTCACTGAAAACTCGGCTCCCAGCGCGCACTGCCCAGCGCACACGCCAAAAATTGTGTTTAATTATAAAAGTAATGATTACTATATCACGCAAAAAGACACATTAAGAACAAGAACAATGCAGCGAGCAGGCATCGGATGCCTTCTTGGCGTCCGAAAGCGGATTGTGCGAATGAGAGAGAGCTATGACGCAGCGCGAGCGTCTCACTCGCACTATCGCTTTCCGAAGCCCGATTGCGGATGCCCGCTCGCCGCGGGGCTCTGTTTTCTTTTATTCAAAAGATATTGCTCGAAACTGTAGGATAGAAAATTTCCTTAACTACGGATACCGTTTATGGTTAACAAGAACTGTTAACGTTTCGCTTCTGTTGTCCGACAATCGTACGACAGTTCTGTACTAGGGATGAATCGGATTTGGAATGGCAGAGTTTACATCCCGAATACTGGGAGTCCTGACAATAACCTGAGTGTAACCGAGTAATGCCGACCATAATTTTAGAGTACTCGAACAGTTCACGGAAAAAAAAACCTCAGCTGCCCTAGCTAAATGTTAGCTGTCCAGGCAGTAGCTAAATTTTAAGCTGTTGAAGCTTATTTTTTGCCGTGGTAGTCAAATAATAGCTGCAGGAACTAATGCTTCCGTATAACAGCTTATCCTGCGTGATCTGGTTTGGATGACGCAATTAGCTCTCTCAACTAATGCGTGGCCCGGGTGAAAAAACATTGACAGTAAGTTTGTATACAGAGGTATACAAGTAATTGTATAAAGCTGTATAAAGGTAATTGTATTACATTTGGTAAAACTGTATTAC